TTATCCCATTTATAACTTTTACCATATTTTATTTTATTTCCAGTATCTCCAAACATAATTTATCCTACGCAATATTTACAAATATTTTAACTTGAATTAAATCTAAAACCTTAATGCAATTTTGATTTCTCTGAACCATATACACACTATGACATTAATTTAAAATTTTAAATTTTTGATGTCGTGCTAATAAAATTAATTTATTATACTTATCTATTTAAAATTTTTATAAAAATTAATTAGACCAATTATAAAAGAAATTAAACAAAAATAACTGTAAGTGTATTTCTTAAATAAATATTTTATATTGCACTGCTTAATGTTTTAAACAGTTTTAAATTCTTTAAATTGCTTCTCAAGTAGTGTTTTTTAATAAGCTTTACAAGTTTTTTTGAATATTTAAAATGTACTTAGTATGCACATACCACACAAATTGTAGTTTAAAGTGAAAGTGTATTTTAAACACTTTTATTTTGACCTGTTTCTAATATTACATACAAACTTACATATTATTTATAAGTAAAATTCAATATTGAATTATTGTTATTGAAGATTTTTTATTTTACAAATTCAATAATACTAGCAAATTGGCATACTTACATAATAACCCACATATAATTTTTATGTAACGCAATAAAAAACACTAAATAGAGAAATGTAGAAAAAAATTTTTATTCGAAATATTTTTAATTTATACATTAAAACTAGGTAAAAGAAAAAAAAAATAAAGAAATAAAAAAAGCATTTTTTGTTTTAAATTCAAGTTCAAGCTTACAGTAAAGCCCACATTAGCAATATTCCATACATGTGCTTTTCTAATTACATGTACACACAATATTATACGCTAATAACAAATTAATTATTTTCGCTCTTGATAATTACTTATATATTTATTGTATATACATATATATTTTGTTTATATTTTTAGTACATAAATCATTTAATTGTTTATTGTAAATGTATATTGTATTTTATGGGCGTGACGTAAATGTAGAAAAAGAAAATCTTTTTTAAAATGTTTTTTTTTCTTCAAAGCAAGTTTAATTTTCTTAACCTGCACTTAATGATAAAATAAATTAAATGTTAAATAAAAAATTAAAAAAAAATCACAATTTTTAATTAAAATTGTGCATTCAGCTGCTCAAAGTCCATTCCTTACATTATGAATTTGGAAAAACTATCATTACCACATTTATGAATTAAATGACTTAAGTGACCACTTCTCGACACGTCAAAGTCAAACATTATATATCTGAACTAAAAAAACAAAATTTCGGCGGTCAATGATTAATGAATTTTTTTTAATTAAATTTATATTTTCAAACTTAAGCACAATTACACTTTTTTTTTGAAATATTGAATATTAACCGTATATTCTTCCAATATATCACAAAATATCAATTAAAACTTTTCTAATATACCTTAACAACTCTCATACTGTAAAAATCTAAAATATTTACTAACACGTTAGGGTTAATATGTTGTTGTTTTGGAAAATTATTCTTTTAAAAATCAATTATTCAAGTAAATTAAATATCCATTGAAAATATCTAAAAGAAATTGAAATTTTCAAATTATTTTAAGAAATTATCATTATTTTTCCTTTAATTTTAAAACTATTTATTTATTTACTTGAATATTATACTGTTCTTGCCCTTGAAATTCTATAATAAAAATTTAAATAGAATAATAAAATTAAATCTAAATATTGAAACATTTAATTGTTTTTTTTTTATTATTATAAATGCGTAAATAAAAGATCTTAATTTTTTAATAAAAATTTTAATTTTTGAAAATAGGTTAATGATAATGAAGTGCTATTTCGAAATTAAAGCTCCATCCTTAGTTAATTTGTAGTACAGTAAATTTTCCAATAATAATGGGTGCCTTTCTTTTGTGCTAATATAATTTTAAAAATTTTGACTTAGATGCAATCAGTTATTTAGTATTTCAAATTAATCTTCACAGTAGACTTCAAAAATTCAAACATACCCGTAAATTACACCCAATATTAACTTTTCGTAAATTTTATGTTTTTCAAGTTCATTATAAATAAAACGCAATCATTGATCTGTTATGGCTAACATGTAACATTAAAGATGCTCAAATTTCTTTTCAACAGAATATTTAATATTTAAATGGGCATTCATTGAAGAATGTATGAACATACATATTATACCAGTTTGCTCAATGGCTCCGAACGTGCTCAACGGCTCCGATGAGGGTTCTCCAAGAAAAGACTTCATTTTATATGCATATAGAAACTCAAACAAAAAGAGCCTTCCAAATCAAATAATATAAAAATAAAAAATTTTGTGGCACAAAAAACCAGTTAAGAATTAGAAAGGAAGGAAACAAATTTCAAGACAAGTGATCTTCTTACACGCGTACACTCTCAGCAATATTTCTAACGGAGATTAGCGCTATTGGATTGCGTGATCATGAGTATATCACGAGAGCAGGAATTATGTGTATTATTTCGGAAACAAGATTCGTCTTTAAAGACCTCTCATTTAAAGTGATGTCTTAGCTGGTGCATCATTGCTCTGGATATGCTCAACAAAGTAACCAAGTAACAAACGAAGACCAATACAGTATTTACAGCTGTTTTAACTTTTCCAGGCTTGATGTTATTAATTCGTGTACTCACCTTAATAGCACGCTTATATAAAGTTAAGCATGAATAGAAATTATGATGTAAAATACTAATTAAAGTAATACGATTTACGTTTATGAAATCTGTGAAAACTCCTACTTCAAATTTGAAAACAAAACTAACATCAAATTAACGATGAAGCAGAATAGCTTCAAAACGCAAAACAGAAAATCATTAAACTAATTGACATTATTGATTTTTATAGCATAATTGATCGTAATTAAGCGTTCTTTGCGTTTCCAAATTAAAATAAAATTACCATATCGAAACTCTTTAAATCCACTCTAATTAATTATGTAGCTTGATAGTGACAAAACGTTTCTTATTTTGCACTAGTTTTAAAAATTTATAATTCGTTGATCAAGAATCAAAAATATTAATTTAATGTATCAAAGTTACAAAAGTTTTTCAATTAAAATTTTGAATTGTTTCATAAGTATGGTCTTACTTATTTAATATAAAGAGTTATTACGACACTAAATGGAAATAGGTAATAAAAATAAAATTCTATGTAGCAATTACTTCACTTATTCTTACACTACTTTGTTTACTATAATTACTGTACTCCTATTAAACAAAGAGGAAAACAATTTAAAGAAAAAGAAAACTATACAAAATTTTTTCAAATTTGTTAAAAACAGAAAACGAACACTTAAGTAGTTTCTGTGTATACACTTATGCTGGTGGAGCAACTCATTAAAAATATAATCAAATATTGAAAATAACATAAAGATATACCAAAAAAAAAATTATTTGAATAAAAAAAACAGAAAAACATTTTATATACAAACAAATGTTTAAAGGTGTTTCGTCAAAGTGGTCATTATATGAGCTTAAAACATTCCGCATTTGCTTTTATTCAAATTTTTATTGCGCAAACAAATAAATTATTTGTTATAAAATTTGTTACTTATCATTTCTTTTTTCCCTCATTATTATTTTGAGTTCTCTTGCTTTAAGTAGGCTTTTATATGATATATGTTTGTATGTACCTATGTATATTAATATATTAATAATGATGTGGAGAGCTTTACTTTTTACTATAGCCAAAAGAATTTTTATTTCATTTTTCTTTAAATTTTTCTTATTATTTTCTATAGTTTTCATTGCAATACAAATCACAAATCTTTTACATAAGTACATATATAAAAAGTTTTTAAATACATAATAATATAATTTCTAAAAAAAAAATATTATTATTATATTATTTAAAACTATGTACAATCTATGTATGTACTTATATGTACACATTCGTATAGGTATTATATAAAAAATATTTATGCATTTGTTTGTAAAACTTATTGGAAAATATAAGTTTATTTTTTTATTTTAAAAAATCACATTATTATACTCACATTACGTCAAGAAAATTCTACTTATAAAGTATCGGTACGAAATTCATAATACAAGTAAAAGAAATGGAGAGTAAATCTACACGTCGCTCTCTTATAATTCTTAAGGTGAAAACAGAACAAAAGCGATTATTTGTGACGATTCGTATAGAACAGACGTATTTTGAGACGGCTCAATATAAAGCGAAATTATCGCTGCGAATTTAACCGGCGGTAGTAAAATAGCCTTAATTCCTATATTATCGCTAGCGTTTTTTTTTTTTGACGTTAACTGTTTCTATGTGACATTATATGCAAAATATTGAACAGTTAATTTTGCTGCTCTGCTATTTTTCTGTATTAACAACGGAAACCGTTCTTCTCTTTGGTTAGTGCAAAGTCTGCACTTTATTTTGGAGCTATAATCAGTTGTAAGTTCTTATGGAATAAAAATAAAGAGGAGAGAGTATAATAGAGAGCCAAAAACACATTTTTTGTTGGTAAAAATATTTACGTATGAAAGAGTAGCACAGTAACACAAGTGGGTTATAGTTGATAACTCTTCAATATCTGCCAAAAATATTACCCATAATCGAAAAAATTGTATCTATATGTTTGCAAACTGCATGTGAAAAAAACCATATGTTTGGATGTATAGCCGAAAACTAATTTAAAATTGAAAAACAATAGAATTGCGTATGTAAACCGAAAAAATTTAGGGAAATTTAGGGAAACTGTGGATTAGAGTGCAATAGGAGATCGTTTTTAAATTTCAATGTAAAAAATATTATAGAGTAATTTTCAAAAAGAATATCAGAGAGCTACTCGTATCTTATAGATTACTAGATCAAATGAACTTTTCCACACTATGTATTTTTTCTTTTTATCTTTTATTCTCTTTGTTTTTATTAATTTTTCTTTTATTTATTTATTTTTTACTTTTTTTTTTATTTTATTTTTTGAAAAAAAAAACTTTTTGATTCCCGCATTTATTTCAGTTCTAATTCGAAATTTCATATGAAAAGGCGCGACGCGATTAAATTAAATTTTTCATTTGTTGTTTTTTAAAGTTATGTAAAATTTGAGAATTCTTTACTCTATATTTTATTTATTTTATTTTGATGATTATTATTTTCGCATAGAAAATTCGAAATTTTGTACATACATACAAACATATACATAACATAAATGTTTTAATTATAATTTTAAAACAAAAGAAAAAATTGAAATCAATTTTTTTTAGAAAAAAAAATAAATTATAAATATTTTATTAAAAGAAGTATTAAAATTAAAATAAAAAAAAAATATTTTTTTACTATTAAATTAGGTATAAAAAAAATTTTTTTTTTTGCAAATACATGCAAAAAATTTTATGATATAATAAATGGATAACGTGCTAAAACAAATTGAAAATTAAAATTAAAAAAATAAATAAAAGCAATAAATAAAAAAGAAAAAAATTAATGACATCACATTTTGGGAAGTTCTCAAAAAATACAAGCAAAACACAGAAAAAAAGAAAGACATCCTTGTATATTTTAAAGTGACAATAGCAAAATAAATTTTTGGAAATTATTTTAAAAATATTTTATTTAAAATAAAAAAAAAAAAACAATAGCAAGAGATAAATGTGTAAATAAAATAATATGAGATTTTGTTTTAAAATATTTTAAATTAAATTTATTTTATTTACCAATTATACAATATTGTTCAAAACTTAAGTGCCTATTCTATACCATTGTATGATAACCGTAAATATTTAATATAATGAAGAAACTACGGCAGGCTAGACTAGTAATCACCCTAGTTAAAAATCGAATGGCGTAGGAAACTAGGGCATAATTATCTACGATATCACAAACACCAACCTCTTACTCCTCCCATGGGTTAAGTAGTGAAAAAAAAATGATTAAACACCACAAAAATTTGAAATTCGAATTATATTAAAATTTTGCCAGCCATCAAAATAAAACATTTGCAACTATTTGGTTGTTTCAAATTTTCGAAATAAATTTTAAATTTTGCCTAAACTTTATTCTAATGATATTGCTAAAAACTTTCAAATTTAGTAAAATTTACATGTTGTGCCCAAAAAATTCCACCTAAAAGACCACACAAACAACATACATATGTAGTTCAAATTAGCAAATGAAATGAAAATTTCTTAACGGTAAACAAATATTTCTTCATACAATGTAACATCAAATAAATACACTGACAAGCAGTCGGTTTTATAGTTAAATTTATTGTTTTAGCTTAATAAAGCCAAAAAAAAACTGAATCAGAACTTTAACCAGTATAAGTGAATATCATAGTTAGGCACATATAAAATAAGTTTTGAACGATACTGTCAATAAATTCTCAAGGCATATTAAAATCTAACATACATATATTTTCTCTATATAATATTAAACTAAACAAAAAATTTGTAAATTTTTCTATTTAAAAATAAAATTAAAGTTGAATAATAATATAAGAAAATAAAATTTATAAGGAAAAACAAATAAGATTATAACGATAATTTATTATTTTAAAATTTTGTGAAAAATAATAATAAAATAAAAAATATTTTTTAAATAAATTAATTGCTTAGTTAACCACAAAAAAAAATCATCATCAGAAGAAGATTAATTCTTAAATTGTCATTTAAAAAAAAAATACATAACACTTTTCTTTTTCTGTAAATTTTGAATATTGTCAAATTTTCTTTAAAAATTTTAAATATAATAAAGAATATTTTCAATAACAGTACAACCTCTTAGCAAATAATAAAAAAATCTACATGAAACATAAAAAACTGTTAATAATAATTTTCAATTGATTTTTTTTTTATTTTATTTACTGATCATAAATTGCCAAATGTTTGACCAAATATATATATATAATCGAAAAACATAAAAATTGAGGTATTTTTTTTTGTACATATATCGTCAATCTGCGGGATTATGCTATAGAAATATTAAAACATTAATCTTGTGTGTACGCAAATATACGCATAAGCACTTATACAAATATTTAGGTTAGAACTTAATCAAAACCTGGTTTTGTATACCGCCTGTATTGACATACTCGTATTATATTTATATGGTTTCATAATATTTAGAAAGATAACACATTAATTATTATAATATTAACAATTTAAATTTTCAAATCTAATATTCCTATTGAATTTATATTGTTATACCAATTACTTAAAGACTTATATGTATATTCTGAATATTAATATATTATGAAATAACAAAAAAAAAACTTTCATGGTTCTACTGTGATTATTAAAAATTATAATTTTTCTACGATGCATTGATGCATTTATACTTATATATACAATAAACCTACATATATATATAATGTATATTTAAATTTATTAATACATACATGTTTGTATAATGCAATATATCGATTTTTTTTTTCTTTAAAATATTAAATTTCATATAAAAAAATTATTTCTAAATTAAATTTACAAATCTAAAATATCAATTCTAATTTAAATCTGCAAGACTTTTATATACATATACAATACATACATATGTACATGTAGATCTATACTTTATTTCAAATAATTTATTATAACATCATATTATAAACATTATAACGTGTACATAATTTTATTACGTGAATCCATTTTATTATAATAAAATCATATAATAGCTAACTCTATAACTCATAATATATAAAATTTAGCTTTTAATACAAGTTTTCTTAATTAAAAAAAAATTATTTGAAATTGCAATATTTACGCTCATTAATTTTATCGCTCAAAAATAAATATTGCAAATAATTGCATATTTCCCCTATAAATTTCGACGAATTTGTTCTAAAGTCAAAGGAAATTAAATTAAAATAAGGGAAAATTTTTTTTTTTTTGTTTTTAAAAAAAATGCAAATCCTTGAATTTCTAAGTTAATTACTTTTGTGTACATATTCTACCTAGTTACATACATAATGCACTCGGATTTTATTGCAAATAAAACGGGCGAAAATTGAAAAACCAACAGTGGGTAAAACCAACCATAGCAAAGTTAAAAATGATTTTTTTTTTATTTTCTTAATTAGAAGAGCTATAATTTTTTTTTTGTTACCAAAGTCACCACCATAATATTTGTCCTTAAAAATAAAAATTATTTTAAAGTGTAATATTTTGCACCTGATGCATAGAAGGTGTAAAACAAGTTCAAATAACAAAAACAAAAAATTATGTTGATTGAAAACATTTCATTACCATCAACACTTTTATCCCATTGAAATTCAGTTAGCTTACAAAGTCAACATTTTTTTTTATAGCATAGAAAACAAAAAAAAAACTCATAACTCAAAGAAATTTTTTTTTGTATATTTTTTAAGCATACTGAAAAAAATATTCTTTAGGAAAAAATTTAAAGAGCCAAAAAAAGTTTTCTGTATAGGATATACAAAATATGTCAAGCAGTTGTTACTTCATAATTTTTTCTCCTTTAATCGCAATTGTGCCTATATACACATTATATAAGATACTACGAGTAGTATTTTGATTTTTGTATAGAATCACAATATGTAAAGTTGATATTTCTATGAGAACCAAGTATACATTATTAGTCCCATATATTTTATAGCACATTAAAATTTATATTATGTTGTAATGCCCTGTATTAATATATTTTATATCAAGATCGAGATAATTCTTCTTAACATATCTTCAAAAGTGGGAAATTATTCTGTATAGTAAAGGTCCACTTACTGGGATTCGATTTCCTCAAAAACTGTACTGGTTCGTTCAAAAATGTTAAATGAACTTGCTGTTAAGATCAGTTCCAGTAGCCTGACATACTCGAATAATTAATCTTGTCCACATATAATTAAAGAATACAAAGAAACCAACGGTTTGACATACTTATAAAAGGCTGAAAATATTTGTTTCTGCTTGTCTCTAACACGGTTCAGATTTTTTGCTGTGAACTTAGCATGTAAAATTTGTAGCAATTGCAGTACCTCTCTTATTATATATGTACAATATGGTCACTAAAGAAAGTAATCTCAAAAACCGATTTATTTAAAGTGTTAAAACGAAATGTCATAACATTAAGCTTATGAAGGGAACAGAGTAATTAAATTTTCAATTGACTTTTCAACAAAAGCTTTTAAAAAAAATACTTATAAAAAAATTCAATGAAGCAACGTAGCTAGTATAAAATTATGTAAAGTACAAATATACTAAGAGATTCTTGCTTTTAAGATTATTTAGAGGTGTAATATTATGCTTAAATATGCCGTCACTGATCAACAACATTTTTATAATAAAAATTTATTAAAAATATATTGAATTTTTTATTACATTTTATTTAATCATCGTTATTGATTCGAAAAACAACAACAATATTAATTTACCTCGCATGTTTTCTTATATTTTTTGAAAAAAAAAATTGTATATTTTTCATTAATATTTAATTTAATTTCTTGTTTATTTTAAAAGGGAATCATAGAGAAAAAACAATCTTCCCCCCTCTTGTAATCTGCATAATTGCGTCCTTAATATGTCATTGTTACATTTACAAAGCGGGACGGTTTCTTTTATCGAAGCCTATGTAATGTTTTACACATATGTATGTTTTACAACCCATATTGCGTTTTATAACAAAAAAGAAGAGGTATAGAAGATTTTCTAACAAAGTAATTAATGATATACTTAATTATACTTAATTTATACCACTTATGATACTTCAAAGTACAGAAACAAAAATTTTTAAAAACGATTTAAATACAATAAATTTTATTTTTATTCTTAAATGATAAAATTTCATTATATTTGAATTATAAACATTTAAATACAAATAGAGCAAACAATACAATATTATTGTTTAAATTTCAACCACGAATACCACATAAATTATGACATGGCCTATAATTACTTAGCATATATTTTACACATATTTATATATGTAAGACGCATAATGTAAATAGTCTATAAATTTTCATATTAAATGAGTTCAGATTTTCATAAGATTTTCAACATAATGTACATTGTATTTAAATATGATGTATACATAATTTTAATAAATACTTAAATATTTTAAAATGCTAAGATGAAAAATAATATATTCTTCATTTTTAAATGATATTTAATAACTATACTAAATGATATAGGAATCGCAATTAAGTATATTGTAAATCTAAATAAATTGCAGAACAAATATGCAAAATATACTGTGGATATAAAATATATGCAATTTCAATTATAACGCATTGGTTATTTTACAATATCCATTTTCAATTATTTGCATTTTTTATTACAATATATTTCATATTAAAAATTTTGTAATCAACCTTTGATAGTTTCTCTTATTTCTTATGGTA